TTGCTGGCCCAGGAGACTTACAGCTGTGGGAGGTGGTCTAGATCCTCTTCAGAAGTGTCTTCTTGAGAAAAGATGTGCCTGCTTGATTACAGCATCTTTCGCAAAAGAAACTGATAGCCCACGCGAATACACAGACTGCACTAACATTTCACCTGTACAGCTGGCCTCAGGGAGGGGGAGAGCAGCAGAAAAAGTAAATTACCCTGCTGGACCTCATTCTGCACCTGCCACGTGCTTAAAATGGGGCTTTATCTGGCTGGCTCTTTTGCACAAGCAATGAGTTTGCAGACATTGCATTTTTCACCATTTTTCCTCTGCTTCGGAGTGCCTGATATGCACTGTCTCTATGGTTGAGTAAAAGGTTATGACTGACCAGCTGGTAACACAGAATGCATTTTTACACTAATGGCAGGGTATTCTAGCTTTTGTTTCACATTGCAGTGACTACATATTTATATAAACTCTGCATCTGTTGAGTTACATTAAGCCAGAGGGTGATGATCTTTGTCTTTACAAAAGAGCTGATTTAATTTCATTGAACATAGCTTTCCATTTAAAAGATCAAAGTCAGTGCAGCCCCCTGCAGCAACAATTCAGTCTTATGTGTTTCTTCAAATATTCAAATTAAGAAAATAGGGGAACTGGGACTGAAAAAGCTAATGAATTTTAACAGGCAACTAACAATTATTCATTCCTTGAAAAATAAAAAATAAAAAAGGAAAAATAAAAATAAAAATAAAAACTCTTTGGGGCCTTTGTTTATCCTGGGCTTGAAGAGAGACATTTTTCCTTCCATCAAAGTTTCATGGAGTGCCCTGACTCTCCTGCCTCTGAAACTGTGAGGAATTGAAAGTGGAGGCAGCATGCATATTTTTTGGTAAATTTCTAGAAGTTGGTAATACTATGAGGAAGAAAAAGACCCCAAAAATATAGAACAGTGAAGAAAATCTGGTGAAGAACTGGCCTCTCTAGCTATCGTGTGTCAGTTCCAGGCACTCAGCACGGTGAACTCCTACTTGCTAAAACATCAGTTTGTGTATAAAGTTGCTTGTTATCTCTACAGAAAATAATGGTAAAAATCATGACTATGAAACTGTATCTGCAATGGAGATAGGTATTCCATGTCTTCTGAAAGAGTCTGCAGGTCACCTCCTAGCATCTGACTTCAGGGAATTAGTCTTTGTCTTGCAAACTTTTATGTTTGGGAGGGAAATGGCTGAACATCAGCCTTACATTTCACTGCTGAAGTTTGGTATTCGCTTACAAGTGGTTTCCTCACCTCTCCGGCCAACAGCAGCACTTACTACTCCCAACACTGAGTGAGCACCATGGCTGCACCCCATGCTATGGCAGGATGGGGCCAAGCACGCACCAAAATCCACTCTTCCTTGCTCCTGTCCTGTGGTTACTCTCAGGAAACCTGGGGACATGGCCCAAAAGGAGCTGTAGCATGTTCCAGGTTAGCCCTCAATCAGGACACTGAGGAATCCGAACCCAAAGTCTGTTTTGGCTCCAAGGAAACCTTTCCAAGAGATACATGTTGCTTCTACTTTACATTTGTGCAATACATCCACATTAGCATTCCAGCCTGGATCAGGAACGCACTTCTGAAACGCTACTCCTGACCACCCCTCCTCACTACACTTTGCTTCACGTCGTGGAACAGTCCTGGCATCTGTGAACTGGACTCCATCCAGACAAAGCTAAACCAAAAGATCTGGTGTAGGAGCACACTTACTGCACTACAGCCGCTAACAGGAGACCAGCCAATGTCACCAGATTAGAGCTGGTCCAAAATAAATCTCGGAAATACATGGAGGGCACACACTGGGTCCTCTATGCCAGCTCCTCTGTGCTACAGATCTGCCCTACTTGTTCCAGGCCACCTGCTAATGCAGGCAGAGCCCAAAGAGGCTGCACTGCTCCTTCTGACCCTCTCACCGCTTAAATGGGTGAATAGTGCCGTTTTAGGCACCATATGGTATCCCTGCGGGCCTCCAGCTGCCACTCTGCAGATCAACAGCTCAACCAAATGTCTCGTGTCATATCTGGCAGCCCCACGCAGACATCTCAGATACCTTAGGGAGACTAACTGGCTATGGATGTCTATGTTTAGACAACTGAATATCATTTTATTTAAGTATCTATTCCCCTCTAGATCAAAAAAAAAAAAAAAAAAAAGGAAGCAAATGAGATTAAAGATGAGGAAAAAAGGTGCTTGAAATACTGTGGTGAGTTCTATAAAATAAAATAACATTTCTTGTAAAATTCTTTTATCTAAAACTCCTGGAGACTTTTTTTACTAAAAAGCACACAAAGCTTAATTTGGGCCAATAAAAGTATCATTTTGTACTTCAAGGAACACCTGAACTTTACAAATAGCATTTATTGTTCAGTAAAGGTTGGATTCACTGACTGTAACGGAACTATTGAGAAGCTTGAAATTAAGTTTCTGTATGTGTACTTTAGTGGTCTAACACCCCAGGACTGTAGTATCAGGATCTTTGCAGGGTCACATCCTAAAGCCTGGTCTGTACTAGTAAATCAGTGAATTATCAAATTACTAAATTTGCTGGGGTGGTAATAAAAGAAACAGTCTTTGGCATGTCCTCTGCCCTGAGGATGACTGAGACAGAGCAGCCTTCATCTGTGCTAGCAAATACCTGGCCTCCAGAATGGGCTGGGATGCTCCAGGGGCTGACCATGCTGGGGACAGGGTGGCGGAGGCGGACAGCCACAGGCCAGCACAGCATCACGGGATCACCTCCCAGTCTTACACAGTGATCACACTCCAAAGCTGCAGAAAAACAGTTTTATCTACCAAGAAACAGCCTATGTTTCTGAATCTGCATGGAAATATTTGGAGCTTCAGGTCTTTTAAGCACCGAAACCAAAATCCTGACCTCGTGTGGCCATCAAACTGCCCAGCAAAAGAGTTTCTAACACACGAAGCAGGTGATGCTGGATGCACAATGGTTGGCATTTGTGTGTTCTTGCTGCTCCTCTCCCAGACCTGCCTGCATTTCAGCGGCCAGTGACGAACCTCTACATTTGTTATAAAAGTAAATTATGATGCAGTCTGTTTAGACACTGTGGACAAAAATGTGGCAGAAAGGCCACAGAAATGGGAAGTATGGGAGTGATTATTCACATTAACATCCTGCATATGGCACACAACCTCTTGCAGACCTTTAATTCTAACAAAGACATGAGAAAGGGAACGTTGGTTTGGTCTGCCTTGCTTTGCTGTTCTGTTAGTCTGCCTAAGTAGCTTTGAGTTAAAGAAAAAAATTGACTATGAATATATACTGCGCGTGTGTAATTAATAGTGTCCGAGGCCACTTGTTGCATATGTATTACCAACACTCTTTTAGATACAAACCTTATTTTTAAGAACTTAGCATCAAACACCAGGCAGCCTGGCTTCATGTGGAAGTTTACACAAAAGGAAAAGGCATATAGCAGCTTTTCTCAGGCCAAGTGATCTCTTACCTGGAAAAGCTAAGGCTACCCAATGTTCAGGGCAGGCACACTATTTGCACCCTAATCGTCCAAGTTCAGTGATGCCCTCTATACATGAATTTCCAATAACCAGGACTGAATACCTGAATGCTTGATAATTTCTAAAATAAAGGGAGCACCTACAACTATGTATTTTCAGTCTGCATGTATGGCAAATCCCAAGGCTACTGTTATACAAGTAATACATCAAATACAACAGAGTGTATTACTTGTATGGATAAATGTGTTATATTAATAGCATATACTCCCAAACATTAAACAGTGCATGAATAAGATGTATTTTTAGAAGCGTTTCTTTCTATCACCTTGCATATACAGATTGGATATAGGAACTGCAGTACTGAGTACATTTTTATTTACAGGACGGATTCATTGATAATTGCACTTGCTTAACAGGGGAAACTAAGTAAAAACAGTGTTTTAAATCAAATTCACATTTTAGTTACATTCTTTCTGCATCTGCAGTTCATTTCTGACCCCACAAAGGCTTATCCATATGCTTAGTTTTACACTTAGGAGTAACAATAATGAAACTAATGTACATAAAAATAAGACTTTGCAGAGCTGAAGTCTTGATGGTAGCCTGCTTTTCACATTTCACCCACACAAGAAAGAAAAGGTGAAGTGAAAAGGCAAAATCATTCCCGTTGCTCAGATTCTCTGCGGTTTTTCGTTTCGCATTCTCTCAAAACAACACAAATTCACAATGACAAATATTAATAGGACAGAGAAAATGTTTTGTAGAAAAATATTTTAGCAATCTTTTATAAAATGTTTTTAATTTCAGGTTCTTCTCAGGTCTCTGTTTCTAATATGCCAGTATTGTCCTGTTTCCCTCTGAAACGAATCTATATTTCATTTGCATATGTTGACAAGCTTGGACTTTATTACTTAGAGGCCCAGATGCTTACTGGCCCTCACTTACGACACATTTTTTTCCAGGATGCCCATCACAGCAGCAGCTACTCATCCTCTATTCCAGTGAACAACACGGGACCACTGGATTGTCTGCTCCTAAATATTACGATTATTTCACTGTTTTACTGCTGGATGACATTTCAACCTCTCCTCGGGCACCTAATGCTCCTGCTGCAGTCCAGTGAATTCTGGTACACAACAGATGCAGGAACAGGTTCTCTGGGTGATGAAGATGCAACACAATAGTGTCTTGAAATGTCACAGTGTCAGAGAGCACTCTGAGGTACTTTGTACATAACCGTTGTATGTTTGTGGCTTTACTAAGAATGCTGAATAACATGTGAGTAGTATTTTGCCTTCTACAGAAAAGTACAGTAGACAACAGTGAAACAGATAACCTGCACAGATTACCGTCAACAGAAGAAAGAGAAGATTCTTCTGTGGGATGAAACACATCACAGTGCATTTTTAGGTACCAAAACCAGAGGGGCAATAAAAAGTATCTTTTAAGTGCACTAAAAAGTATTTTTTTACTAAAAAGTATTACACAGAAATTGCTTTCACAAAGCACAGTGTTTCTTAATTAGTTGTAGCACTGTCTTGAGAACCTCTTCCTTGGAGGGGCTGGCATCGACCTCTTGGCATGCAGGATTCACCATCCTTCTGTATGACTCTTCAACTCTGTTTAAAAACAAAACAAGAGAAATGAAATTTCAAATTGCAGGGATATGAAATGGCATTAGTCATCAGTCTCGGAAGAAAGTGTTTGCACTGCAGACACAAAGGAAAAAAAATCTAATACGAAGTTAAGAATGAAATCTACTGGAAAGAGCAATAAACCATTAGTAACTATTACAATGCGAGTCTCAAAGCACCTCGTTTCCTTGACACTGATTCCCAGAGCTCTATCCTTAATCACATGGCATGGTATTAAATATTTCTTTCTTTACAGCTTAGCACAGTCTGGTATGGCAGTACAGTGGACAGCCTGCTTCTAACACCTGAATTAATTTATTCAGAGTCTGCTAAGGTGCCTCTGAACTACCTGGCATGGCATCATGTAGGTGTGCTCACTGACTGACCCCAGCTTTGAGTCACTGGATTACAGAGTTGACACGTCATTTAACCCTTTCCTCTGATCAACTTTGCTAACTGGATGAACACTGGGATGAAATACAGGATGAAAACCTCCTCACTTAGACTATAAGTGTTCTCATAATGCAGAAGTCTCCCACATATTTAGCTTTTGATGATGTGAATACCATTTGCTATGTTCCTACAATTAATAATGCCAAATGTTCAGGCCACAAGTCATAAGACACATCAAGCAAGATTCTGGATGTTCTCACATCCAGGTTGGCATATTAACAAGTAGAAATAATCAAAGGTTTTCTGACGGGAATAACAAGTAACAGAATTAGAACATGAAAGATTCTTAAATGGCAGCATGTTCCCTAGCTCACCCATCCCTCTGCAGGCCCCACTATATGAATGGTGTGCCTGCACAGAGTTTCTGTCAGAATTAAGCAATGGATATTTTTAAGGTATATGATCACTAGAAATCTTAAAAACCCAAAGGTAGATTTCAGTTTTGCAATTTGCAGATATGGAGACTGTATCTATACTGAGGTACCTACAGGTGTTTAAGTTTCCACTGCAGACAATGATGATCTAATCAATACATTTGGTGGAGCCTAGACAGCAACTCAGCACACCCTGAAGTAGGACACCTAGGGTGCAATTCAGTTGCTTAAGCAAATGTGTCTAGTACTGCTCGAGTTGCTCTGGACTATCTCATTTAGCTTCCAGTTGCTGGTCCAGAAAGCGTCCACAGGTTCTGCATCACATCTGCCAGCTTCATGCAGATGTCTCAGATCATATCCAATGGCTCTAGATCCTTATGCCTAGATCACCGGGCTCCAGGCAGGTGGTGAGCTGAATCACTTCAAAGGCTCCGTTGAATGTATTGACTATAGTGGGACCTGAGACACTTAGCAGAACTAAAGACATCTACAACAGAAGACCTAAATTTTATTCTCTTAATCTGGAGCTCAATTCCAGACTTTTCTGGGGAAGCTATGTGTTTCAACTTCTTGCCTCCCAGTTCTGGAATTTTTAGGTCTCTCTCCTTCATGACCTCAATAAGAAAGGTGTTGCAATAAAAGCAGCAAGTAGCAAAATGCTAGTATTCTAACTCAAAGCTCCTTTGCAGGAGAATGAAGTTCTTCACTTGCAGCTTTCAAACACTTTCAGTCAGAAGTGACAGGATTTACCCTTCTTGTCAGCCATGAATCCTTTCCAAAAAAAAAAAAAACAAACCCAACCCAAAAGCTTAGACATAGGAAATCCTTGTCCCAGTAATATGAGTGGGACATTTGCTACTGATCCCACAGGAGCCAAGATTGCCTGCATCCTCTTTTTCCTCATTAAAGTGTACCTTTGGCGAAACAAGCTGTTAGCTTCCAGCTCAGCTTCCTCCTTGGTTTTCTCCAGCCCCCGATGCTGAAGTCTCCGGACTCGCTCCTCAGGGTCAACAGTCAGGAGAAGAACAAGATCAGGCTTAAGCAGATCCTCAGGCCACTGGTACACCTCATCGTGAGCTGGTGGAAGATCCTGGACTTGCCCATTTATTTCAGTGGCAATTGTGTAGGCAGCTGTGCTATGCCAGTATCTGTCAGGAAAATGCAGAATGGAGAGAGAAATTTTAGAGAGGACACTAATTCTTCAGTAACATAGCAGACAGGTGTCACTATAATGATGAGTGCAATAATGACAAAGTAGGTGACACTGTGATTTTGAAGGGAATTCTGAAGAACAGTTCTGTGCCATCCATTATTTCTTAACAGAGTGATAATACGTAACACAATATTCAGAATTACTGTGAATTATTAATTAAAACATATGGCAGAAGCTACACAGTATGCAGAGAATGTTCCAGATACTCCTATCAAAAGAAAATCTTCTCATATAATGAAAGAGGCTAAAAGAAGAGTTACAATACATGTCAAAATCCAATTTTTGTGCTTCCCATCCTACTTCATGCAACAGATTTGGTAGAGAACGTGCAGTCTTCAACCACATTATTGTCACATTACACTTGTATTTGACGTTCCCACCACTGCGAGGCACTGTATTTTATATATTTCAGCGCTTTTGAGGCTGGTTAAAAATAGCACCCACACACATACAAACAACTTCTCTGTATGTCTGTTGTGGGGGGAGGTTCCAGTACATCTACCGAAACAAGCCAGGAGTTTCACAGTGCACCTAGGCTTCCTTTATTAAAAGTAATACTGAAAGCTGCCTACACAGTTAGTGCAAACAAGAAATGACATAAACAAAACCAACAAAGTGGGAAGCGTATTTCTGGCTTTACCTCCTCAAAGAGTAAGTCTACCTAAAACTCAGTCATTCTAATCCACTCGTATCTCAGACACATCTTAGAGACAGCCATGATCAGCAGCCCTCGTTCTCCCCAGCTTTGTCACAGAGCCCTGGCTTGGCTTAGGCTGCACAGTCTGTGCCTCTGCTATTCCTAACTGAAGGTGTAACAATTTTCATGTCTCCGAAAGCCAGTTAGGAGTAGTACACTGATGGAAGTCCCCCATCTTACTGTTACTGTAAGTATTACTCTTTAGAAGATTTAACCTGCAAATCAGCACTTCAAAAAAAAAAAAGAAAGAAAGAAAGAAAAAAGAAGAAACCCAGAGACTACCATTGACAACTTCTGCTTTTAACACTGAACAACCGTATGATGGTACTGATACAAGAGCACTTCTCAAAGATACAAACCTGTCTATGATCACAGGTGCCTGAGTGGATGCTTTCGCTATTTCTGAGGCAAGAATGTAGTTGCCCGCAGCATAAAATGCTCTTTTAACGGGTGCTGGCTCATCATCAAATATTGTCCTCCACTGGCTGATGCAAGCTGGTGGGGACCTTAGCAGAACGCCGTTCAGGGTGTCCTTAACAGACTGGGTTACAGTGGTTTTGCCTTTTACAGAAGGAAACATTTGTTATATTACTTATCAGATACAACTGAGTTTTAAAAACTGAAAAATGCTCTTATCTGTTCACTTGGAGCACTTGTTCTGACACCTGACTATGTAACCTGAGTATCTTGTGATAAGGTTTTCAGTGGGAAATGTTTATCAGTCTGGTTGTAGGAATTATTACTCCACTGCCAGGGTCTTCCACTCCTCCCTCTTGCCAACCTTCAGCCTTCACCCCCTGAAGTGCATTTAATGCATGGCAATTTCTCTATATATCCATTTACAATATTTTTCCAGGTCCACGTTTTTCATGTGGATGTTGCCACGCTGTCACCCAATGATTTCTTTTTAGAGGGGATTTTCTGTTCTTTGTAACTGAAAAGTCAGAAAACAAAGTTAGTTAGAAGCAACTAATATTTCCCTCTCGGACAAACTGCTGCCAGTTTCCCAGACTATCACTATTTTACAGAATCACAGGAAAGACAGAATGGTCGGGGTTGGAAGGGAGTTCTGGAGATCATCCAGTCCAACCTCTTCCCAAAGTAGGTTCATTTAGAGCAGGTTGCTCAGGGTCGCGTCCAGGCAGGTTTTGAATATCTGCAGAGAAGGAGACTCCACCACCTCTCTGGGCAGCCTGTGCCAGGGCTCTGCCACCCTCACAGTACAGAAGTTCTTCCTCATGTTCAGGTGGAACTGCCTGAGTTTCAGTTTGTGCCCGTTGCCCCTTAACCTGTCCCTGAGCACCACTGAAAAGAGTCTGGCCCCAGCCTCTTGGCATTAGTTCTTGACTTTAGTTCGCTTATTTGAAAACTCTCCAGTAAAAGTACGTTTCATCGTCTGCACAAGAAATTTAATTTCCAGTCACTCTTTGTATTCCTTCATTTACATAGATAAGGAAATCATCCACTGAACGAAAATTAGCGTAGACTGTTTGATCTTTTACAAGTAAGAGAAGACAGACTGGTATTTATAATTACTAATTCTTTCCAATCTGTCACAGGTTGCTAGGATTTCTTGAATTTTTAAGCCTTACGCCTGGCTGAAATCCCCAGTGGCTGTTTTTTCCAACAATTTCTCACCTGCGGTTCTTCAACCACGCAATGCTCTTACCTGTGGCATCCAGCCCCTCAAAAACAACGACGGGAAA